CAGGGATAAATGCAAACATTTCGTAGGCCTCAACATTTCTGAAGGCAGTAGTTTGAGTCTCCGTAGCTTATGTACGAATTCTGCGCTTTTCACCAGCTACCGCTGCCAAACCTTGAGGTGCCTGATTCCATTAGTAAACGATCAATCTATTATGCCAATGGGTTGTGTTATTTTCGATGGAAAATGCACCACTAGAGGAAATTTGATCCATTTTCGTTGGTCACATCACCGCATTTCGAGCATCCATTAGTAGCGGGCTCATGGAAAGGAATAAGCAGGCCAAAATTAGATCGTAAAAGTGGAGGGTGGAAACAAAGGAAATGACAGTAGTGGCTAACAATTTAGCCTTTCTTAGAAAAGTGCGACTAAAAGTCCGGCCCACTTAACTAGAAAATACACAAATATTGGAAAATGGAGCCAAAATATAGCCCAGAAACAGCATACCAGAACCGCAAACCTGGCGCAACTTTCAAAGTGTAAATCTCCAAACAAGCGGAATCAACGCCGTTTTGGAGCCGAATATTAACTAAAACGGGACAACAGTGGGTGCTCTAGGAAAAACCTTAGGCGCTGGTTACGATAAAGGTAAAATAATTATGCTAGGTGCAGTGGTTATGGAGATATTTGCATTTTAGCGGTCGGCGGCGGAGAGCGCCATTTTTGAGCCTCCGCTATATTCACGTTCTGCTTTGGAAGCAGATACAGAAAAAAGAAAGAAATCAGACTAAAAACGGCTAGGCGTAAAAAGTTCCGAATATAGAGTAGTAGCTGGGAATGCCTAAAATGTCGTATAATTCGCTGCCGTAGCGAAGTATGACGCAGTGGGCCGAAAAGCATACTTTCTCACTACATGTAGTAAAAGTTGGGAAAACAGACGGAAAGGTTTTAGGGGAAATACTAGGTAGGCTGTAAGAATTATTATATAGGTAGAACAGCACAGGATATGGTGTAGCTAACCCACAGCCAGAATGCGACCATGTGTGATGTTCAGAGTGTATTGGGCCGCAGAATCCACTATGAATGTGGAATTCAACGTTTTTAATGCTCCGATGTGGATGCGAAAATTATACCAAAGCCGCATGAGGTCAGTCCAAATGGGTAAGACAAGGGAACATAAAACTCATTTGCCCCGTCTGAACTAGGATAACGCAAGCATTTCCTACAGAAGTATTACCAGTTTCGACTCTTTGAGGCTATTTTATACGTCGTTATGGTTGTATCACTGACAATAATGAGCCAGGGTGATCTTCCAGTGATAATAACAAACCAATGTGAGAAAATTCACAGAAGATGTCCAGGTGAGAAACACCTTGGGTTCCGCTTTGGTTAGACAAGAATACCACTACTTTTGAGGGTTGCGCCATCTCAAGCACGACTGAGTAGTGGGCCACAGGTGCTAAAGCACACGACTGTGCAATTAGTTGCTAGTTTAGAGCTCTATTTCTCTTAGCTGAGAGTCGGATGCAAGTGCCTGTGGTGTTGGACTAGAATAACGCAATCGTTCCCTGGAGAAACATCATCAGTTTCAGCACTTTGAGGTTATGTTATATATCTTAATGGATGTGCCACCAATGCTAATGAGCTAGAGATGTCTTCTATTGATAATAGAGAAACGGGTGTCCAAAAAATTAGCGAAATGCATTCAGGTGGGAAATACCACGAATGCCGCTTTGGTTAGGCATGATCATCTCAGCTTATAGAGGTTGCACTTTCTCATTTGTGATGGATTATGGGGCCTCGTGTGTTAAAGCACACCATTTATGCATAGCGTTGCTATTTTGAGCTCTAACTCTCTTGGTTGGGAGTCCGATGCAAGTGCAAGTGATATTCACCAGTGTAAGGTAATAGAAAACTGGGAGATCACAACGGCTATTAAATTGGAGGTTTCCTGGTGGAGAGCTTCCAAATTGTCAGGCAAAATGAATGAACAATAATATAACGCAAGCATAGAAGATAACAGAAAACAAGTGGGAGCTGGTTGTTCACCCGCCATCGCGCATTGCGTATGGTAGGCTTTGGAGCCAGGTAAAGGTTAAAATTACGTACGAACGGCCAAAGAAAAGAAGAAGTGTTGGTCAAAATACCTGGATGTCTAGCTTTCCAGGTGACAGGGGCCTCACTGCCGCATGGTTAGCTTTTTACCAGAGGAAGGGAATCCGGAAAAATTGTTGTGCAAGCATAAAGTGTTGAAGAAAAGGATCTGGTAAGAGGCTAGGAAACAGTAATTGACGGAAGGGCAGGGAATAGCCGAAATGCAAGTGTAGAGTAAGGTTGCTTAGAGTATCGGAGCAGTGCGGCCTAACCTCAGCAGCTAGGGTGCTAAGATAATAGTACCAAGCTGGATAGTGCCAGCGAATGCTAGCCCGAGAGCTGTATGCTTGCATGTTATAAGGTCTAAGACAAAACATCAAGTAAAGAATAAATGAACAGTAAGAAAGGTGAGGCAAAACAGCGGATTGCGCTGAATACATGGATATACCTTAATTAGTTTAGAGAAAATATAGGCGATGCGCATATAATAGGATCATGCTGTGGTGCTAAAAGAATAAAACTAGGGAAGACAGAGCCGGAAGAAGGCAGTAAGAATGCTGAACTATTAGTAATTGCGTGCCATAGACGAGTGACAGCCGTGCGTCTAGCAAGGAGCAGCTGTGCACTGACGGGATGCGCTAAAGAAGGTCGCCAGACGAGAGCTAAGAAGATCGGATAAAGAAAGGACAACGGTCAAGATGAATGATTGAGGGAGTCGTATCAAATAATGCTGAACCACGGCGGTGTATAAGTTTTCAATTTATGCTATGGTACTGGGATATTACTACTTTGGAAAGAACCTGGGAAAGCAAGTCCAATAGCTGGACGCTTACCGGTGAAAAAGTCGAAGACGTTACTATAATTAAGAGATATGAGAACGTCTAGAGTAGAGAGGCTAAGTAACGGCTGAGCACCGACTTGAAGATTTGGAAGGAGTGCTAGAGAAAGCTGAAAAGTTTATATGGAAGGACAGCAAACAGTCGGAGTGCATGCATAAATTAAGTATGCTGAGGCCATCGCAGCGTACGAGTCAAAGGCGAGCAGATACTGAGTCCTGTTACGGTGCTACGATTTCGTTCATGAGAACAAGGATGTGCAATTCCTTAGTTTTGGAATATCGATGGCGCATCTTTCTGATCTTCCTAAGTAAACTGCAGGCCTTCGCCGATTTTGCTGTCGTCTTTAAGCGGCTTCTGCAAGTAAGTGGGGCGCTCCCATCTAGGCAGCTGAAGAGCTTTAGATATAGGACGTGTGCGGCTGCGTCTACATCAGTAGCTAAAAAAAGTTGTCCCAGTCCGCAGATCGCACTAATATCTCAATGCTCTCCTAGTTAATGTGGTTGAACATTCGAAACTGTTTGACATAGGAAGAAGTGGCGCAGTGTGGAGCAGAAAATGTAAATATGACTTTGACCACCTTGTGGTCGCAGCCGTGTATATTATCTAATATACCAGCAACTGCAGCAGAGACATCCTGCGTAAAGATTAAGTCTAGGGTGTTAGAAGGCCTAGTGTGATCGTGAACTTGTTGGGTCAAATTATTTGCGTGGGCGGTGTCGACGAAACTTCTGTATCTGAGTGAGGCAACCTGGTCGTTCCAGGTGATAAGAGGCATATTGAAATCGCCACCCACTATCTTGTGACGTGGGAACATTAGGGAGATTTCAGTGAAAAGCTTAGTGAGTTCATTAAGCTTTTTGCTTGATGTGTGTGGAGGGTTGTATACACAACCGATAAGAAGGTCAAGTTGACCTCCTGTCGTCTGGATCCAGATGGAGTCCTCTGGGTCACCTATAGACAACAGTTCGAAATCGGGTGCACCAAAGTCGTCCGGGACATACATAAGGCAACCGCCACCAGACCGGTTGTCTCGTCCGTTACAAAATGTTGTTTAGCCAGGGATGCGTAGTAGGCTGTCAGAGGCATTTGAGGGGTGCCACGTTTCTGTGATGAAAACCAGCTGTGGGTATGAGAGTAGGATAAATGGGCCAATGAGGTGCATCTTGTGTGTAATAGATCGCGCGTTAATAAGCAGCATACTGTATGTTTCAACACAAGGAGTGTTAGAGGAGTTAGATTGCGTGAGGTTAGTTGCACAATAGGGTGCAACTGACGCAGGGAACATGGAAGTGGTAAGAAATTCTGGAGAGGGTGATATAGGAATGGGATCAGAAGGTGCTTGTTTAGGTAGCTGATGGTAGTAGGCCGCTAATGAGGTTGTAGTAGTATTGTTAACCGTTGAACCTATCCGGAGGGCTGAACCCAACCGTGGTGGTTAGTTGCATTGAGCAGATGAGTTGTTGGAGGTAATAGAGAGCCGGCGAGAATTGTTGGTGGAGTGGGCGTGGTGGGTCGTGTCCTGCTGCATCCCATAGAAAAGAGGCCGTGGATGGCATGGCCCGGTTGTAGTGCTTGTCATCCGGATATATTTTTCGTTCAGGAGAACGTATAGTCATAGAGTGCGTGGTAGTGTTGATGGAGCGGTAGAGGTTTTCAGAAGTGCGTCGTCCTTGAGAGGGTGCTTTGTTCCCCACTGTTGCAAGAGGTTGTGTGGATTGGCAACGGGGTTGCACACTTGACGTTTGGATGGTATAGCGCTTTTTGTAGGGCCGACTTGGCGATAGCGTATCAGGCTGCTAGTTAGTAATTAGGGGAATCAGTGCGTTGGTGCTGCGCGGGCTACTCAGAGTTCCATTTTGCTGTGGTGACTGGTAGAACGTTCTTAGTTTTTGAAAACCACGGCATTTTTTATAGTTCAGGGGCTTAATAGCATTGGTTGGCGCCTAGAGTAGGTAGGGCTTCGCAGTGTTGCTAGTTGGGTCAAGACCTGCATAGAGGGCGAAGTTTTTGATCGGAATGATTTCGATTCCATGCGATCCATTGGTACAGATGTTGCTTGGTGCTTGTCAGCTACCCGTTTGTGCCACGAGGGCTTTGCTAGGGTACGGTTGTCTTTGGTATGGTGATGCATCAGCGGGTGAGCTTCGTAATACGAGGCGTGCCATGTTTCGGCTGTGGACCTTTGTTGGTAGTCTGTTGTGTTGCGAGGGTGGGTTCGGCTTTGATCGAGGGGAAGGGAAGGGAGTTGATCAGCGGGAAACCTACATTGATAGGTTCGGAATCGGTGTCACTCATGTCGGAGGCGTTATGCATTGACTCAGCTTCTTGTATCGTTAGCTGGGACGAGCATTGAAAGTTGGTGGACTTTTTATCTATTAAGGCTGTGGGGCTTGAGCCGGTATGTAACGCTGTTGTGCTGAGCCGCTTACTCATGCTCGTGTCAGCAGGGATGTTACACATAGACGTAAACAGGCGGATAACTTTTTTCAAAGGAATTTTGTCAGGAACGTTGAAGACAATCACATTTCGGGCTCGGCGGGTGCGCTCGTTTAGCTCAGTAGTGATGGTAGTAAAAAGGGCGCCGGCATCCTTGAGCTCATCAGCGTTTTCATTTGCGGTATTGGATTAATCGGCGCTTTGGGACTAGGTCGTACAATGCAGATAAGCAAGAGGCTATAACAATAATGAGGGTACAAGTCTAGCAGTCCCTCAGAGTAGGGGTAATAGAGTTAACTCTGCGGAGCCTATACCGTTTAAGGCTCGGTAGCATGGGAGCAGTCAGAGAGAAAGAGACTAGTCCAGTGAGACAGGATCACGGCAGGGCAATAAAGCTGACCGTCCGATGAAAATAGAGGAATGAAAACTGAAAGCGAGATAAGGAAAAGTTAGGATCCGTATGAGAAAGGTTTACTGATAAGGAGTGGGAGAGCCCGCGACGCTTTTTTAGGTGATGCAAGCAAGGAGTTGAGTCAGCCGAACCAACGTTTGTAACTTGGAGTAACTCTGAGTAAAACTGGAAAACAAGTGGCTGATCTAGCGAGACTAGATTAGTCGGCGCAGAGGAATAGCGAGTAAATTTAAAGACAGGTAAAGGTCCGCAACAATAGAGGATGAGCGAGTCAAGCCGAATCTCCGGGTAGGGGGACAACAGCGTTGAGTCTGCGTAGCGTACACCATTTAAGTCAGAGTAGCATAGGAGCAGTCAGAGAGAAGTAAACTGATCGGTGGACTAGATCACCACACCGCCAGTTGAAGAAGAAATGAAAGCAGAGCGCGATAATAAGAGTTAGGGTCAGGATGGGAAGGGTTTATTGACGAAAGATGGGAAAAGCCCACGATGCTCTGCAGGTAATGTAATCGGGTAGTTGAGTCAGCCGAACTAAGAGAGATGACGTCTCAGAAGTCTAAATAAAGCAGCAGAGCAGGAGGCCGATCGGGTAGGACTTGATTAGTCGGCGCGTTTGCATAAGGACATGTAGTCAAGGTAAGAAAGGAACCAGCAGTAAATGGTGGGCAAGTCTAGCTGGCTCTAAATTTAATGAAAACATCATGTTTAGCTTACGGGGCGTATACTGCAGTAGCATTGTAGCAGACTGAGGGAAACAAACTAGGCAGGTGCGCACATGGAGGAACTGAAAGTGGCGGAATTATAAGGGATACGAAAAGTTAAAAAATAAGTTCGAACCATGCAGATGAAAATAGAAAGGATTGGTAAGGAGACATACTAAGGGGGCGTGCTTCTCTAGAAAAATACAAATTAACAAAAAATCTAGTCAAACCTTTCTGACGCTTATATTGATTTCTGGCGGCAAGTTTTAGGGAGCTGGGTTTTAGCCAACGGCGAAAATTTTGTTGCGGGCCAAGGTGAGATAGAACCACAGGCATCAAGAAGGCAATCGCAAGAATTAGGAATTAATTATTAAAGTTTCAATAATTAAAGTGAATGCACTGCCTATGTTTATAAAGTGTTACAATTATGTAACTTGTGCAGTAAAGTCGTTTACTGTACACATGGTAGCATGTGCCGGACAATTCCAAACTTAGTAACTGCGGCGAAGTACTGATATTTCAGGGGCTTGTTAAACAGCGAAGTATGTTTGTCGTCTAATGTACGTAAGCCTGCCACAAGTACCCTATGAATGTAAATGTGTCAAAACGTTATGGGAAATGCATATTTCACGCTTACCTCGCATGGTGTGCCATGGTTGTTCGTTGGTGATGAATTCCTATAAAATATCATTTGCTGCAACGGGGAAATCAAGGAATCAGCAACGTGAAATAAATGCGATCATGCAGAAAAAGGAAACGGAAATGGCAGTGTTGTTGAATGTTAACCGGTGAAGGAGATCGTGAAGCCGCATTATTTGAGATATGCAAGTACATGGGGAAACTTGTAGCATACATATAAGAAGTACACAGAACGAGATAAGGATCGGCATAAATTAGCGGTTGAAAAGTGACAAGGGTAATGTGAACTCATATGAAGTGTACAGTTGTACACTGCGTTGAAGTAGCTGCAAATTAGCGAAACGGAATTCATTTCGGATTATCAATGTGTCGGTCACCCAGTATGCATACTGTGCAGAGGTGGTGCAAACTTATGGTGAATAGAAATAGCATGATATATAATGCATAAACGTAGGGGTAAATTAAACGATGTGAAACTGCATTTACAAAATTAAATATCCGAGCCCCCAGCTAGTATGGATATAAATATCTCCCGACGATATATATATTCATATATTTATTTAGTTACGCTGTATTCTTCTATGATAATAGAGATGAGTAAAGTTAGAACAACATTATATATACATAAATATATGTTCTTAGACAAACGTGCAAAAAATATATATGGCTTGCATCCGGTTTCGGATTTGCCTGTCGCTGTAGCCAGCCACAAGACGCCTGCGCCTACAAAGGGACCATGGTTGGCATGCGCTGCACTACCCACACCTCCAGCCCAACAATCCACATCTAGTGTAAACAAGAAGGAATAAGTCCCGGAGGCATGTGGATGGGAGCCACCTTTCATCTACGGAGCCGGCCAACACTCCTTCAATGACAAACATGAGAACGCTGGATTTTGGAATCAAGCGCACACAAGGCGGTGGCTGGACCTTAGCCCACTCCACACTGAGTTCATGCAACGAAGCTTTGATCCTAACACCGTGCACCACGTCCCCTCCAACAACGACCAACTGTATCCTAGAGCCATTATGGAAGAGGTAGTGGGTAATAAACAGGTAGGCACCTTGTCAACATGCACGTCAAGCGCAGCCACACCGGGGATAAGAAGCAACCGCCAAGCGCTTGAAGCAATAAGATGTAATGAAATAAATGGGATAATGCATACAGCTACGGAGACATAACTGTTCACTTAATGAGCCTAGAAAAATGATTACGAATGAATCCGCGATAAGCTCACGTGGTCAGAAAGTATATTTTATGGAAATGCCAGAAACATGAAAATGCTATCGAACTTAACTACCATTGGATTTTGCGACATACGTAGCTGTATAGAAGAGAGTACTGGTAGACATTTATATAAGAAAGAAAAGAGTTAGGACGAAATTGCAATCCCACCACCTATAATAAATATATGAAAACCATGCTAACGCTTGTCCAAATAGTTAGGAGCAATTTTTATTAATGGAACGTATATGGATGCTTGCAAGTGTAACTTAAATTGGGAAATGTGATAACACATTCGTCGATCAGTAAATGTTGGCCTTACCTATGTAGGGAGACATCTCTCTCACCTTGAATGACAGCCCTTGTAAGCATCATGCGGCATAATAATAGGCCATCGGCATACTGGTTGCCACATGCATTGCCAACTGCAACGTGGCCACGTGTACTGACCTCGGGTGGGCAACATGCACTGAACCTTTTCAAAAGTTAATTGGATAAGTAAACATTTATATAATTTAAGCGGAACTCTGTTCACCGTGTCACAATTGAAGAACACGGGATAATTTGATGCATAATAATTTGTAGGAGAATGTACGCTCATCGTTTAAAGGAGCTTATGAACCATATAGCAGTGCTTGGCGTAGTACTACACGCATGAACACAGTGTGATGAATTGTTATTATGCGAAAATGAAGCGCTTGCAACATAGCGGGCAACTTACGGCTGACGCCAGGCGCGCACCTATTAATTCCGCTTTGGCAAGGCTGGATGGAATGGAATTGGAAGGGTTGCATGTGACTAACAAATCGAGACAGGTGTTTTTGGAACTGCTTTTCTTTGGTGTGAGAACGGCCATTCGAACCATGTGCGACTACTGTCGTCTGAGTTCGGAGTGGTAAACGTGCTTACAAAACGCAAAGTGACAATACTGAAATATGTTTGGTGGTTTCCGGCCACGGCATAGAAGGGCCAGGCTTAAGAACCGGAAGAGTAATAGAGCGTTAGTGAATGTGTACCCATCCACGGACCTATCCACTGAACTAGCGGCCAAGTGGTGCGGCGCATGCAAGCATTTGAGTGGGCACTACTGCCTTGTAAGGATGCACCATAAGGCTATGGGACATAGTGTGTCCCTGAAAAGGGCCGTCGGGTCGTTCACGAAGTAATTGGAAAACGAAGGCAGGTAACAGTGCGGACCAGCCAGGGGCGTGCGAACGTCTTGACGGGCAGTTGTGGTACCTACATACAGGTTATGCTATATGCGGAGTGGGCTGGAGAGTACGGAAGCATGGGCGAGCAACGTTACCCTTAAAAACAACTGATTATATCTGCACCACACACTTCTAAACATGGGTGGCACTGCGGTACGATAGATAAATAACAGCGTTTAGCATGCGGGTAAGAAGGTGAGCAAGAGGCGCGGTAGACAAGGTACTTCGAAATAAACGTGAACCTGGTCCCTGCACACTTACACTTTCCAATGTGGTCATTTACTGGAGCACTCATGAATGAAGTACAGGGTCGCGGCATGTTGCAAGTAACGGGAGACATGGTGCTATGTAGTTGGAGATTTATGCCAAGGTGATGGGTGCTTAGTAAGCCTATATAACTGCCACATATGTGGCATTACTGTCGGCACTCAAGGAGACTCCCTTGGTTGCCTCGCCCGCATGACCAGTGCACGGAGAAGTAGTATGGGTCCCATAACATGGGCGGCGTACTCACAAATTGACCAATATCTATGTTGGCTTCACTAGCGTAAGCCTATGTATGTCCAACGGGGGTACATTAAGATTGTCGGTAGCATTACGAGCCTACATGAACGGTGGTTACTTAAATAAATAAATAAATAAACTTTTCTTCTCGACATTGCGAGGCACACATTTACAGGCATGGTCATATCTAGATATAAATAAATATAAATATAGGTAAATTTCCAAACAAGCGCTAGATGCTGTTCCTGCGTGGGATCAGATCAAATTGTACATAACGTCCATGCTCATGCATGGAGAAGAAATATCGTTAACAACTGCTTTTGCTCGTGTTTA